AAAAAAAAAAAAAAGGAAACTTTGTGTTAACGTGTGATATGAATAGTAGATAGTAAGAAGAATAGAACAGAAAGGGTTAGTTTTGAGGAACTAAACCTGGAGAAACCAGTTACTCAAGAGTCAAGGAAAGCAAGCTTACAACTTCTAAGAGGTATCAAACCAGAGATATCTGAGGATTCAAAATAGTATGTGAAGGGATTGTGTATCTTTTTCCCTCAGAGCCACTGGTGGATTCAAACCACTTTTGGGATGGCAGTACAACTTCTCACCCTCCAGGTAATCAGAGCTCCCTGATTTTTTTTTTTTTTTTTTTTTACAGTGCCACACTAGTCAAGAGGGCCCTCTGGTAACCGACCTGTAAGGAGTTGCACTTCCGTCTACAGGCAGTTCAAATCCAGCAGCAGCTCTACAGGAGAAAAACTGGCAATCTTCTCCTGTACGGTTTACTGCCTCTGAAAATCCAGTGGAGGATCAGCTACGAATCCATTCCAACTCAGTGGTACATAACAACACAAGCCAAAGCAAGAAATAACCCTTGTCACAAGAGCCGTGGGAAAGGCAAAAACCAGTTGTCAGTTACTAAAAAAATCATTGCTTGAGGCTCAGAAACGACTCCTTGCTGACCCTCCATCAAGTTTCTAGATGCTATAAATTTCACAGGAGCGGACTATCCAGCTTTCTCCTACAGAGCAGCTAGTGGGTTCAAACCACCTGCCTTTGGGTTGGCAGCCTAACTCCCAACCCATTAGGTCCTCACCACACCTCTCAAGGAAATTGTCGGTAATCTTCCCTTAAACCATGACTCAAACCTGACCTTATGTTTCAGGTCTGAAATCTCGTGCAACCCCTTCATAGCTGGTTCTGTCATCTCCATCCTGGAAGACTAATCCTTTCTTGATATTTACTTCAAGCAACTCTAATGAGTGTGAATAAGATCAGCCATTAATTCTAATTGACAGTTCCCAGAGGATTCAAAGGCACACCAGAAAAGCATCAAATTTAGCCTCCAGATTGACTGGAGGCAGACAGCGCTGTGTCCCAGGGGCAGATAATTAGGCAGCAAAGCAAGAGTAAAGATGGTCCCAGCTCTTGAATGGATGACTCACCCCTGTCCAGCATTGCTCATCATCCTTATGCTATGTTGTTGTTTGTACCATCAAGTCAGAACCAAGCCGTAGGTGACCCTTGCTGGGTTTTTCAAGGCTGTCGATTGCATGGGAGGAGACTGCCCACGTTTCTCCTGCAGAGCAGCTCGTGGATTCTAACTGCCTTCAGGATGATTGCAGCACAGCTTCTTACCACTAAGCCACCACAACTCTCTCTTATGCTATATATCCTACCAATTGTAGTGGCAAATCTCATGAATCACACTGCTCTGTGGGAACAGAACAAAATAATTTTTGCTTATTTGCTTTTTGCTTATAAGAAAAATAACTTTTTTATTGTAAAATAACTTAGGGCCACAATTAATTCCTTGGCAGATATTGTAGTTTAATGTGCTCATTCTATCACTTTTTGAGTGTTGGCTGTGAAAAATTCGTAGTAAATAATTTTTGTTAGATCAAAAAGAATGTCTTCTTGCAAGGTTGTTTTGCTTTCTAAAATTAGTCCACATGCAGTTTCAGGCCTGTTTAGAGATCTGACCCCTTTATTGATCCTGCAGCAACACTGAAGAACTGTGCCAGCTCAGAAACACCACATCCATCAGCAGAGGAGGGGCCTCTATGGAAAAATCCATCACAGTTGAACTTCTTTCTCTGCATTATCCTGCTCCTCTAACTTTTATGACCATTGTTGTTATCAGATATACTCCTCAATAAAATTTCTATATACAATACATCTCAAAATATGTTTATGAATAACCCAACCCAACATAAAAAGCCCTTCTACCTCAGGTGAGCTGAGCATTCTGCTACTATTCCAGTGGAATATGGCAAGCCCAAAGACATCCACTTCAGATCCAAGACAGGCACATCTGAGCAAGTTCTCAATGAAATCAGCTCAGGTCTCCTCACTTGCGTCTCCTCACCAGCAGGAAGACTCTTCCCTTGGCCATAACTCTGACTAACGCTCCACTCTAATGAACACATTCTCCTTGGAAACGATGCTAACAGACTCACAGCAGTAGAGATGGTTCAAGCTCAAATAGATAAACCATTGGGTTCTGAGGCTATAAATGGAAACTGGAGAACCTGTGTACTTTTTCAGGTGGAGGCTCTGGTGGATTCAAATCCGCTGAGAATTGAGGCCTTTTTATAGAGAGCAAATCATTATGGACTATGCCACAAGAGTCCCCTAAATATTTATTTAATGTCTGTCAATGGCAGGTCTTCTATTAGATGTTAAAAAAAAACAAAACTAGTAACTCCTATGATGAAAAAGGCCTTGCTCTCCTATAAAACCATTATTGTAGAATGAGTATAAGGATCCAAGAGGGGTGGGAGAGGTTGTAAGCAGAAGGAAGAGGATGTTCAGGGGGAGGGGAACTTAATTATGGGGTTGTACAATTTGATGAGGGGGATTAGGGAAATTGAAAGAATTTGTTCTTGAAAACAATGTATCTGAATTTTGTAAATAAACTAACAGAAAATTTTTTAAAAACTTGTTCTCATGAATTATGGAATAATATGTTATGTTTATTATCACACAAATAACAAGTATTATAATTTAAAACCACAGTGTTAAAAGTATGTAAAAGCAGAACTAACTCAGTAACAACAGCTGCTGAGTCAGTTTCATCTCATAGCAACATGTGTCATCGGTATTCTCGTGCAGGTATTTTTAGAAGTTAATCACTAGATATTTCTTCCGAGGTAACTTTGAGTGGACTTGAACTGTCAACTTCTTAGTTATCAACAAAGTATGCTATTTTATACCACTCAGGGATTCCTTGTCATTCTTGTCATCCCTCTACTCCAATGAAATCATGGCCTTCTCTGGCCCCTCACTGTTCCAAGACAGTAGAACTGTAGTTCTCTCTTTTTTTTTTCTACAAGGCCTTTATTTGAGATCAATCTCTACCATAGAATTATTACATTTTTTAAAATTTGTGTTGGTTTGCATGTAATCATTCATGTACATCCTGTTTTGTACATGTACTTTATACAATCATTCATATACAATATATTTTATATCATTAATTACCATAAGCAGTATTAAAATTATCATAAATTTCCTATTACAAAGTTAGTCAGCCATCACACTGAGAGTTATTATAACTCCACAGCCTAATAAATACTCAAACTATAGGAAAAAATAGTAGAGAAAAGGAGAAAATATGATAAAAATGAAAAGATGGTTTTTCTTTTTGTTTGGTTTATAGGTATATTGGGGCAAATCTACCTTCTCACAGTAATAATGTTCTCTAGCGCCTCTACACAGTGTCCAAAGTATGACCATGTGAAATTACTAATCCTGGAAAGTTCAGTTAAAGTGGTATTAGTAATGATTACAAGATAAACACAATAGATTAGTTGTGATTATAATGGCAATAGTAATTTTGTGGTATCATTCTATTTCTTCAGTAAAAATGTATTGAGAACGTTTGATTGATTTACACACATGTGTTTAATCATTCAAAATAGGTACTATGGGAAGGAATGAGGAAGGGATATGCTAATAATGACACAACCCATTAAACAGTGACATTTCTGTGCCCAACAAGTATTTGCTTAGAATCCAATTATGTGACAAGTACAAACCTAAAAATACAATAGAATTCTTGATCTAGTGAAGTGAGGACAAAGATTATTCAATCAATTAAAATATATAGAAGTATATCATCTCCCTGGAAAATTGGCTCAGGCTAGGGCAAGGTTCAGAGCTGTTGTGCACAAGGTCCCTATGAGTCACAGATGACTCAACAGCACATAACAGTGACAAGTAAAATTAATTATGAATAATGAATAATAAATACTGGATAGACTGCTCTGAGGTCAAAAAGAAGTGACTTGAAAAAGCTTTTCCAGAAAAGCAAAATTTGAAGTTCAAGATGAATGAAAATGATGATGATTAAAAAAGGAGCTGACATCCCGTAAGAAATAATCTAGACCAAAATCTTGGAACTGAGGGACCATAAAACACTTGGGAAAATCCGAGTAGGTCACAAATGTATTTTTAGAATACACAAGACACAAATAGCATGTTTATTAAGAAGATACACAAACATTTAAGAATATACAACAAGCATATTAAATTTCTTCAAACAGAAGGAACCGGAAAGGGGATGGGGAGCAGTCAAGAATGAAGAGAAATGATAAACCGAACAAGCAGAATGGTTATGTTAGCAGTAAATGTAGAACTGTTGTTAACTCCCTACATCAGAGACTAAACATGAAAAAACCAGAATTATTCTAATTCTCTGGGATTAACAAATGTATCACTTAAGAATTATAAAGGATCTTCCAACTCAAAAATAGGATGAAAACACCACATTGAGTGAAGAATCCAAGTTTCTGCTTCACTTCTGAACTGAAATAGAGAATACATATTTTAAATAATTTCTCTTATAAGCTTCTAATTCTAAATTATCCCCCTGGTTTGCCACCCCTGTTTCTCTAAGATCAAAGATAATTTGGTAGGTGGTGACTATTCATTCCTTCAGACGGGTTGCGTGTTAATGCCTGATGAGTGAAGGTTCCTTGTGTCAATTCATGTGGCCAAAATATACAATCGTCCATTCCTCTTCTCTGAAAAACTAAGACATTTTAATCCAAGTCACAGTCTTGATTGTTTCTCAATTGCCTGATGTACTTATCAATGCAAATAAACAACATATTTTCAGAAAGAAAAGTTAGCAAAATATTTGCTTGATGATTGGTCAAGTGACGTAGTCAGCCCTTCTCGATTTTTCATGCCAATATCTAAACAGCCAAGCTCTCAGACAAGATTTGCTAAGGTCCACACCTTCAGGATCATTTCATGGCCCAAGCCGTGTGGCTCTTGGGCCAAAAAGAAGGCATTTTGGTCTCTTGAAGTACGATCATGGGAGTTGGTTGCCCTCAAGTGGAGTCAATTCGATTGAAGCTTAGAATAGTGAAAAGCCGCTCCCGTATCTGCTTGGTCTTGACTCCATAGACAATAGGGTCCAGGGCAGGTGGAAAGAGCAAGTAAAGATTGGCCAGGATGACTTTGGCAGCAGAGGCTGCAGGTGGCCCAAACCGCTGCATGACCACAGAGAGAAAGCCAGGTCCATAAAAGAAGAGAATGACACACACATGGGCTGTGCACGTGCTTCCTGCTTTGGCACGTGCTTCTGGTGAAGGAAAACGCATCACCGTTCTCACAATCTGCCCATAGGAGTAAGCAATAAAAGCCACGTCCCCCACGCCAAGAAATATTGCCACAGCAAAGGCGTAGAGGTTGTCCACGGTGGTGGCACCGCAGGCCAGCTTCACCACAGCCATATGCTCGCAGTAGGTGTAGGCAATAGTGTGTGAACCACAATAAGAGAGCCGATGGGCCAGACTTGGAAAGGAGATGGTCAACCCCACACCCCGCAGCATCACCAGGCCGCCGATCTTGGTGACAACCACTGGGGTGAGGATGATTGCATAGCGCAAAGGATTACAAATGGCCACAAAGCGATCCAGAGCCATGGCCACCAACACCCCTGATTCCATGGCAGAGAATGCGTGGATGAAGAACATCTGTGAAAGGCAAGAGTGGGAACTGATGGCTGTAGCCCCAAACCAGAAAATGGCCAGCATCTTAGGCAGAGTAGAGAGGGAAAGAACCAGGTCGACAAAGGAGAGCATGGCGAGAAAGAAAAACATGGGTTGGTGTAGACTCCGCTCTGTCCGAATGAGAAGAAGGAGGATCCCATTCCCCAGCACTGCCAGCAAGAACATGAAGCAAAAAGGGAGTGAGATCCAAATGTGAGCCGCAGCCAGCCCTGGGATGCCAGCCAAGAAGAAAGTGTGTGGAAAGAGATGAGAATTATTGGGAAAAATCATGGTTGACATTTTATTTAGAAGAACAAAGGACCACTGAAAAGAAAATCAGAGTCTAATCAACAATGTAAGAGTTGGGAGTTCATCAGCCTAACCATCACTCTCCCCACAGTTCTAAGGAAACAGCTGAAAATAATATTCGGTGTAGTAATTCTGTAAGATCTTCCAAAGCAGAAAAGACAACTTGGCCTAGTGGAAAATGTATTGAACAAGTATAGAAATGAGTTCTCAGGATTAGATTTCCTATCACATGTGTGATTCTGAGCAAGTCACAGAATTCATGAGGATGGCTCAGAATAAGACAACACTCAGATCTGTTGTTCATAGCAAACTTAATGGTACTTAACAATAACAGCAAGATTTAAATAAAAATCCTTTCTACCTGGCTCACATATGTAGGCTATGGGTTGGGGCTTTATTAAGTGAACCTGGTGGTTCAGTGTCTAAGAGTTCTGCTGCTAAAAGGTCAACCATTTAAACACCTCCGCAGCTCTGTGTGATAGTGGCTTCCCAAAAGATTTACAATCTTGGAGGCCCTGTATGGTAATTCTATTCTATTCCCTATTCATAATAATTGACCAGAGAGCAACAAGTTTTTGTTTATTTCTTTGTATTTTAATCAGAGGTTGATTTAATCAACATTGACCTTAATTGGTCCCTTAATCTTATTCTATGAGCTTTCACCTGGGAATTCTAACATCTGGGAAATTCCTTAATTTGAGGATATCCCACTCCTCCAAACTTCCTCTGGTTGCCAAGATTACAGAATAAATGATCCTTGGTGGCACTAGCATTGATCAGGCTTTTCCTTGGACAGTTTCTTCTTTGTTTCACAAATACAGGTCTTGTTTCTCCACCCATTTTCTCAATAGCTGTCTGACTTCTTCTGTATTATATTCTTCATTGGAGGAGCCACTGTAGTAGATGACAAGACATAGAGCTGTGGTGACCTGCAGGAGAAACAGAAGGTCATGGCAAAGAAATAATAGCACAAAATACAAAAAATTACATACAAATCCCTGTCAGGATAGGGAGACTCACTCACTCACTCATTGCCACTGAACCAAAACCAGCTCCTATGTGACCCTCCAGTGGGTTTTCAGAGTCTGCAAATTGCGTGGGAGAAGATTATCCATATTTCTCCCTTGGAACTGTTGACAGATACAAACCACCAGCGAGCCTCCACCTTTGAGTTGGCAGCACAAAGGACTAAGCCACCAGTGGATGTGAATTCAAGATCCTTCATTCAGGTAAGATTAAAAGGAAGTGTACAAAATTGTTAACATGCTCAATATTTTTATTGTGTCAAATAGTACCATAGATTGAAAAACAGAGGTAACATCCTCTCCGGGAGGATGAGCTATCCTTTGAGAGACATAACTTTCTAATAAATCTATCATTATGATTTACCCTTTAAAAAACCTTCCAAAAAAAATAAACTGAGATAAATTGCCATGAGTTGCAACTTTATTTAAGGACAAATGCAGACCAGAGGTTAGATCCACCAATGTTCGGTCTTGGTCTTACCAGTGGCTGCTACGGCACTACAGAGGAACATTCAAGGTCCTGTCACTAAGGGTTGAGCAGTACAGGGGTCAAAAAACAAGGTTGGTACAAAATCACTTAGGGATCATGTGTATCCCCAAGATCTTTCAATTCCTCCAACACTGTAACCTTCTCGAGTGAGATACAAATGCAAGGACACGCACACACACACACACACACACACATCGTTGAGCCTAGTATATGAGAAAGCTTGGAGTATTGGAGAAGTAGTTGGCATTCTAGACAGAATAATGCATTAAGGTTGATCTTGGAACCTCAATAACTTCAGCAAGAATTAAAGGAGCAAAAAGAGCACAGTACAATTTTGAAACGGTCAAAGAAGTTTTGCTTTTTTCCACTCCAAAAACCAACATGATCAAGGAAGTTTGTTTTTTTCCTCCATGTTTTTTTCATACCTTCAATTATAGCTGTGAAGGAGACTGCATGATGGCAGTAGAAACTATAAGGCTTATGAGGATTGAATATGTGGGTAGATTTTGTAGCTCTGGTGTCATGGAATAAATTCTGAATTAGGAGTCAAATATATGATTTGAGCAGCTATTTTCACCATATGTTGATTGAGTAACATTCTCCAAAGCATTTAATCACATCAAGGCTTCGTCTCTTCACGTGTAAAATGAGTATGCTAAAAGAAAATGTTTTAAATACAGAACCATCAAGTGCTGCATAGTGTTAGTAAGTCACTGAACAATCAGAAATAAACGCTGCACTAGGATCTTTGGGTAGGGAGCTCTGGTGGCCTAGTGGCAAGGTTTGAGGCCACCAGCTGCTCCGCAGAATGATGGGTAATCTCCTCCTGTGCAATTAACTGCCTCTGAAAACTGGCTGGAGTGTCAGCTATGGGTCAGTTCTGGCTCTAGAATACAAAACAATAATAGGATCCTTGGTTAAGAAAATAAATTTCAGAGATTGAAAGACAATGCACTTCATTTGGCAAAAGATAGGCATATATATTCATCTTCCTGGTGAATGATGTATAGTAGTAACTTGAAGCAACCAAGTAAAAAAATACTATTTCCTCCTCCCACATTGTTCCCTTCTTCCCTTGGTAGAAGGGAGGAAAATGTGCAATAATGCATGGATGAAAATACACCTTTTCTGTAAACTTTCATTAAAATCACAATTAAAATGAAAAAACTGATTAAGAAAAAAAAGAACACAACGCTTCCCTCAGCAGCCCCTGGGTGTGGTCTGGGGAGGAAACAAAGGTCGGATAATGTGGTTTTAACTACCTGAGCACCTTCCCCCCAAAGAAGCCCATCTTTAAACCACCTCACCACTCTTTGTGAGTCATAACACTATTTTCAGAACAGGTTAAGAAACATTTGCATCTGGTTTACCCAAATAGACCCTCAGGACCCAATATTCCCTCCATTTTAACTCAAGGAAAAGACTAACACAATAAATTCAACTCGTCTACTTCTAAAAGGAAAGTGAATAAAGGTCCAAAACCCAGAAGAATCTAGGATTTAAGATTACTGTTTCAAGTGCCTCTATAAATTCTTCCCTACAGATCCCCCAATTGGTTTTATAGAGGAGTATGATTCTGGATTATCTCCTGTGGACTCAGACTAGAAGAACGTTTGCAAGTTTGGGGCAAGAAATTCTCAGACACTCAATCCAATACATATCTGTGTCCATACCACACCAAAGGTCCAGATAGACCATCCACAGTATTACTTTTACTATCCATTTTCCTCATGTGTATTGAAACCATGCAATTCCTGTCCAGATAAGCCATAGGCTTGTCCAGATCTAGGAAGGTGAGGGAAAAAATAATTTGCAAACAAAGGCTGTATGTACACATCATCTTTGGGTCTATGCTTAGCAAATACTCACCAAAGATTGAACTGCAGGGAAGTGAGCTACCAGCCAGGTCTCAAGAATGTGATATTTAATGGGGGCCTTTTCAAGCATTACCTGTAGGGACCCTGGGTGAAGCTCCCACTACCTAGATACCAATTAGCATTTCTCTCCTCTCTTCAAAGGACCTAACAAGTTCTTTCCTCTTATTAGGGCCCCAGAGAACATCCCCTGTAGGGAATATTTTGAACAGCATATTCCAGGTTGCCTTGTCAAAAAGCAGGTTAACACTCTGCAGCCAGGAGCAAGGAGAAACTTCCTGTCATGAGGAATGGCTTGATAACCCAAACTATCTGATCCAGGTAGAGTGAAGGAGAAAGCAACACAGATCATTAACCTAAACGACTTCATGTGAGGTGTGCAGAACCATGAGACGAAGGGTGGAACTTATATTAGAAGGGAGAACAATGCCAAAGAAATGGCAAAGGCCTCCTCTGTGTTACTCAAAATGGCAGGTATAAGGCTAGGTGAAGATTGGAGAAATCTGCATCTATTATAATCCACATGTTATCTACAGTTGGTAAAAATGACTCAACAATTTGGGCTTTCTTAGTCTTTCTATATTTGACCCTCCATGAAGTTATCAAAACTAATCCTGCCAGATTAACCCATGGAAGGATAGTCAAATCTATAAAGAATCTCATCATTTAATATGAAGATACAGGAAAAACTGGGTGCATTTGACTCAAAGAAGAAGACTTGATGTATCTTGTGTGACTCCTCATGAATCCTTCAAATTCAGGAAGAAATTCTTCATAGGAAAAAAATAATGTGTTCTACAGAGCAAAGGGAGCATTAAGTATACATAAAATGTATACCCCGGGATTCCGTCAGACCTGTATGTTTTCAAAATTATATCATCTTGTCAATTCAAGAGATACAGGAACTGGGGATCAATTCAGCCTATATTGGAAGATATTGATTAAGAGTAATCAGTACACAGAATCAAATCATCCATTAAGGAGCAGCAGATGCTAAGGTTATTGACTGAGATCTAGAAAAGATGTTGTAGTTGTTGTTTGGTGCCGTCGAGTCTTAGACGACTCATAGCGACCTTATGAGCGAATGGCCTGAGCACTGTTCATACATAGAGTTTCCCGAGGAAGCCATTTCGAAAGTGGATGCCGCTCCTGCTTCCAGGCTTGATTTAGTCGGGAAGCTCCAGCCAACACTGTCCACCATGGGTGCCCATTTCCACGATTGGCACATCACTGTCACAGGCTTCAGCATCACAGAAGCCACGAGTTACCTCTGTACAGCAATGCACAGACCAGGGCTTTACCACCTAGAAGAACGTTTGACAGGAAAACAATTTGAACCAAGAAAAGATGAGAAGACAAAAAGTAGACTTCAGATAAATCCTAGATAATGAACTTGATAAGAAAGCATTTATCTTCTGACAGAAATGGTACATGGTGAGAGTGAATTTAGGATATATGATATTATATATCAATGGAATGTGAGAACCCTGAATGTAGGAAAATTAGATATTGTTAAGGAAGAAATGGAACGCATAAATATTGACATACTAGGTGTTGGTGAGATGAGTTGGACCGGCATGGGGCATTTTGAGT